TAAATTACTTTCGAACTAAAAAATTGTTGGTTCCAAAATTTTGAGCTTTGGAGAGCCTATGAACTAAAGTAATTGTAACACTTTTTTAACCCTTCTCCTCTACAGACAACTTAACGACAACAACCAAACAGAGTTACCAGAGGGTTTGTTTGATGGTTTAAGAGCCTTGACACGCCTGTGAGTAAAGAAAAGAAAAATGGTAATAGTTAAAATTATTTGTGTGACAAATTGGACACTTGCAGATTGAAGGTGGAAAAAATAACAATCTACTGAGAAGGAAAGAAAAAATACAAAAATATTGCTGTAGGAGTCATTATTTTATACCTTAGTTATTATATTTTTGTCGGATGAATGAGCAAAATAATGCGTAGTAAGGATGTTCCAGTAACTTAACAAATTAATAAGAGCCACACTCATCGAAACTATTATAAATCAACTTTAACTTTCTGAAATAAGTTTGGAAAACTCGTCATAATTAGAAGATATGAAAACATTTACCTATTATTGCCGTGTTATTCTTTTAATCAGATGGCTGCAAAATAACGGAATCAGGAAGCTTTCTAAACACGTTTTCAAAGATTTGACTAGTTTGGAAGAGCTGTGAGTATGATAGAAAAGAATTGTGTTTACAAAAAATATTGACTCTTTCAATATCAATGTTCTCCTCCTTTAAATGGAAAAAGTATTCGAAAAGAAATCCCCTCAAGTTGCACCGGGGTTACGTTTATACAAAACGCGTGCGAGAAAAAATATTTAATGGATTATAATTGAATGTACACTGATTTTATAGAAGCACATGATGGGCCTATTTTAAGTCGCTTAGAAAAATTACAATTGAGAGCGATTGTATTATATTATCTTTAAAGAAGGTAGCGTAACCGAAAGCCTCAGACTCAAAATCCGCTGATCCTGAATTTCATCGAATTGCTGTACTGACGTAGTCCCACTGCCTAAGGAGAAACCAGCCACTGTTATTACTAAACTAATCATAACCGTTACAATTTCCTCGAATTGGATTGATGCATCAGCTGCTTTATATTTTACTAATCACTCTGTACAGGTGTAATTGGACCGTGTGATGGGACAGTTGGCTGTAATCGGACGGCTGTAATCGGACACCTGTGATCAGACAGTTGAAGCAGCCAATCATATGAAGTCCACTCAGCGAAATTCACCAATCACAGAATTGATCACAATAACCATAGCAACAATCACTTACCCTGAATATTTACTAATTATAACCTTTAAAATTTCCTCAAATATGATTGGTGCATCAGCTGCTTTATATTTCACCAATCATGTCGTCCAATTCAGTCTGTAATCATACTCGGGATTGAAAAATGGAGTAGCTTGACAGTAGTCTACCTACCGTTAAGTATGAAAATAGACTGACGTTTACGGTAGCGTAAGAGCTATTTGGCTGTTTCCTCATACTGTCTTACTTTTCACACGAATTACATTCCGGATGCTGTTATTTTTTTTCAATTTTCTGAAAGTTCTAACTTATTTCCCCTTGAACCTTTCAGGGATCTGTCTAATAATAAGGTTAAGAATCTGCCTCAAGACGTCTTTAGCAACCTAACAAATCTCAAAAACCTGTAAGTCAACAATAAAAACATTACAAAACAAAAACAGCGACGACAAGGAAAGCGGTTCTCATCCTAAGCATGTTCGAGTTACTAAAATTTCTCAATTTCTGTCTTAACCCTTTCACTCCCAAGATCTCATCAGTAATTCTCCTTACTATCTGCCGTACAATTTTTATGATGTTAGTTTGGAGAATTTGGTATTGGATCAACTAAAAGTCCCCTGATCGCTATTTTTCTTTATTCTCTTGTCTGCTTGATTATGCTTTGACACGGTATGGAGAATTTACCTCTTAGTCACTCATGGGAGTAAAAGGGTTGAATTCACAACGTAAGAAATAGACGTTTTGATCTTAAACTTGAGTTTTCATTACACTAATGTTATCAAATTATGTCTCTCCACTTGATCTAATTAAACATGTTCACCAAAACGTATCCCACTGAATGAATGCCAATGATATATCTTTCTATCGTTTGCATTGTAAAAAATACCGTCCATCTTACCAGTTGCAATCGTAAGCTACGGGAACCATTTTGTTTTGCCGTTAAACGCAAATGACAGATGTTTTCCACATACTGAAACCTATCATTCTTCAATATCTGGCTTACTGTTTCGTACTTGCAGGTTTTTATCCAATAACCAAATTGGAGAATTACCATCAACGATATTTGTTAACCTGACCAAGCTTAAGACATTGTGAGTAGACATGGAAATCTTGAAGTATTAATTAACTGTCAGTCGATTGATTGATTTATCAAATTGGGAGATAAAACAGTAAAAGAGAATGATGACAGATCCTGAATGTTAAAGTATAGGAAAGAATTGTGACCATGTTTTAATTGCTTTCGGACTAGACGATTTTAGAGCTATGTGAGGTTTAGGATGGATCAATTAACTCCAATTTAAAGTCAAAATTAATCAAGGATTGCTCTCGTTTTGCCTTCATCACCCTTATCATTAATCTAAAAGCATGCGTCACCTTTTCAACCTATTGGATTCAAAGCTAATACCAAGTGGGACTTGGTCACACACCATTATTGAAACTTAAAGCCACGTGTTTGTTTGTATTATTTTTAGTTATAATTGCCCTCGTCAATTTTTTCCTTTTAATTGGTTTTTTCGGTTACTTTGGCTTTGGGTGGAAAAATCGTAATCGAAAGGCACGCTAGATACGTTGGCACCGATTCAAATTTCAAATTAAGAAGAAGGTTGGTCACTAACAGGTTTCTATTTTACAATTTAACAGAAAAATAGAGGAAAATGAGTTAAAAAAGTTCCATCCTAAACAATTTCGTGGACTGGGAAATCTAGAAGAGCTGTAAGTGGTTTATGTGTATTGATCTGAGTTTTCTACGGGTCTGGTTTCTGCATGTAGGCTGAGAATATCTAATTACGCTGATTATACGACTTTGCCTGATTGACAAATTCTTTTCTCATCACAATTTCCTGCGGGAAACGCTTACCCGATTAAGTTTCCATATTTAAGAAAATTTAAGGCCCTGTGTTATAACTTACCTATTTTTTTCCGTAATTCCTAAAATAAATGTATGCGCAAGGTCTGTGGAGATTACTGGAGAACCTATAGTCCGGGTTAGATATAATTTAGATGAATTTTCATTAATAACTTATTAATAAAGTTCGTGCAATGACGATCCTCCTCTTTAAAGTCGAAAAACTGAAAAAAAAATTATGTGATTATGTTTGAAAATAGAGAAAGATGTTTTTTTCGTTTTGTCACGAGCGTGGGACAAAGAAAAAAATTCTGAGTCCCCATGAGGAACCGAACCTCAGACCTTCGGATTCCGCGCTCAGATGCTCTACCACTGAGCCACAGAGACTCCACGGTAAGCGAGGTCTATTACGAAGTTCATACGACACGCGTGTGTTTGTAAATTGTCTTCCCACTCAAGAAAAATGTTATCGATGTCCTGTTCTTTAATTCCCGAAGTTCGCCATAATTTTATTTTCTTTCTTTCTTCGTTAGCTATCTGTCGGGAAACAAACTAAGATATTTGCCACAAGGAATTTTCAAAGGCTTAAAGCAGCTTCTGATTCTGTAAGTAGAATGTGAAATTCATTTTGTGCTTAATTTGATCAAAGTGGTATCTCAGTATCTTCTAATAATCGCACTTATCAGTTTGAGATGCACAAATCAATGCCCAAAAATTATATCATAGCTGTTTTGCTAATTGTTTTCTTTTCATCTTTTTTTTGTAAGAGAACTCTTTAACAACCAATTGAGGAACGTTTCCATCGACAACTTCAACGAAATCAGGCGGTTAAAAATTCTGTGAGTGTTTAATTTTTATTAATGATAAAATGACAGTCAAATTATGAAAGACGCTGACTGCCATCAAAGGTTCAGTCAAGAAAATAATCAAAAGGCGTCTGTGGCCAACTCGTTGATAAAGAATTAAAGAGATATGTGCAAGTGCAGTCGTGAAAATGCGACCCTATCTAGCGGCACATTGTTCGCTTATCTCTAGGAATTTTAACCCTCATCCCCCCCCCCTCCCCGCCTCCCCGTCCCCCTCTCAGAATTAATATGTGGTAGAAATAGCAAATAGTGATGAAGCAAAAAATCGCACATAATCACTCCAGGTTGACCATAACCATTCTACCTTGCACTGCTCATACCGTGATTGCAGCATTCCCACGCGTAAAGTGCTTGTGACATCTGGGGAAACACACCCGTGTTACACCGGAAAATCCATGTGAAGCAGAAGAGGCCGATTACTCGCAATTTCTTGTAGTTTTGATTTTCTCTTTTGTTCTTCAGTACACGCATATGCTTCTATTTATTTACACGGATGGAAATTAACTAGAAAAACATTCCTTGAAATAGATAGTCGTCGTGTGTTTTGAGCGACAAAGATCGTCAAGTGATCAAAACAACACCGGCCAGATTATGGTCATGTGTTTGGCAACCAATCATAAAATGATATTTCATTGTTACCATCAAAACACTCACGTTTGCATAGAACATCAAAACGAAACTAGCATACCGAAAAGACCGAAATTGGCCTAGTTATGTTTAGCACATGGACGATTCGAAAACCCTTCGTACTTGGTCTTGATATTGATCTTAGCACTAATCTGAAACATTCGAAGTCCATTTCAATTTAGTAAATGTCGAAACAGCCATGTCAAGACAATAAACTTCGCAACGATCGATGCAATCATAGTGGCGCCAGGACTTCGGACTTCTTCGGAAGGATAGATCTCGAATTCGGAGCCGACTAATTACGACAAATTACGAAGAGTTCACGCCAATTGCCATATCCCAAAATGCCCACAACAACTCGTTTCTACGCTATCGCGTATCCACGAGTTAAAAAAGCACAAATCGATACGCTTAGTTTGAAGCAATACTCCGGAAATGCTCTTCTATTCACTGATTTCATCCTTATATTCTTGTCTTTAAATATCTAATTTTCAGATATTTGCATTATAACCACATGAGGGAGATTCCCTACGGATTTTTTAAAGAGTTGAAGGATATATCACGAGTGTAAGATTTTTATGTGATTTATTTGATACATTTACAACTTATTAGCAGAGCTATGAGTAGAAAGCGTCTGGGTGTTCATAACACAGAGCTTCAGGCAAATGAATTCGTGGTTTCTATACTTTACTAAATATCTATGGTCGGCTTTCTTGCCCTATTGACGACTTTTATAACAACCTCCATTTTGTTGGGTAATACGCCTTACAAAGACTGCTATTGCGCACTACATTGCTTTACAGTATCGCATGAAAAATTTTCGAACATAATCAATGAAGATTCATAGTCACAAAAACCCCATAGGAGGAAAAGAATTCTGATTGACTGATCTCGCGTTACCTTTGTGCTCTTAGGGTATAGGCTTTTGGTTTTATATTTCATTCCATCTGTATGCACTGAATAGCATTATATTCTACGGTTGCAGGTTGTTCGACACTAACCTGATGTGTTGTCATATGCACAAAGAGGACGCTGACTGTGCTTTCATTGAGAATGACGACTTCGCAAACTGTGAGAGCATGTTCAAGAGCCCAACCCCGCGGAAGAGCATATGGGCAATCGGCTCCCTTTCCCTAGCTGGGTCTGTGTTTGTCATCACATGGCTTTCAGTCTTTAAGGATACAAACACGGTACAATCAATCATGTTATTGCACTTGGCAGTCTCCGATGGTTTAATGGAAGCATACCTTATCACACTGGGTTTCAAAGATCTGTTGTGGAGAGGAGAGTATTACTTACATGACTTCGAGTGGCGGTCCAGTTTGGCTTGCCAGATAACTGGTGCTACCTCTTTGCTATCCAGTGAGGCCTCCTTGATGCTGATGGCTTTGATATCTGCAGACCGACTCAAGAACATTGTGTTCCCGTTCAGAGGTGGAGCACTTTCGCGGAAGATGACCCACATCCTTTGCGCTATCATATGGCTCGTCGGCTTCCTCCTGGCTTTCTTTCCGATGTTTGGCTTGAGATACTTCGAAGATCTTACAACATATCACAACTATTACGGAAAAAGTGTTGTCTGCCTTCCCTTACAGCTCTCTCGTCACAAAACGGAAGGCTGGGAGTACTCTGTTTCTGTATTTGTTGGCCTCAATTTCTTCCTCTTCATATTCATAACAGTTGCCTACCTCGCCATATTCATAAGCAGAGTGCGAGTTAAAAACCAATCAGCCAACACAAGGAGGGAGACCGGTGTGGCCAAGAGAGTGTTCTTCATCATTTTCACTGACTGTCTCTGCTGGATGCCAATCATCGTGTTTGGTATGAGGTCGCTTTTGGAGAAGAATTTCGAGCCACAGAGAGACTTAGCTGCTTGGATTGCCGTGTTTGCCCTGCCCATCAATTCAGCGATAAACCCGATTCTGTACACGTTAGCAACACCAAAGGTAAAGAATAACATTTCTTCATTATCTCTTAAATCTAAATTATTTGAGGCAAGACCTGGTGGTCTGGCGCTTAATACGGTGGGTTCTTTAACGCACTGACAGGGGTCTTCTTAAGCTAGACACTCTGACAGTGACTGTTTCCATTCAGCTGTTTAAACGAGTAGTTTTAACCTGCCTGAGAAAGTTAGCTTATACTTCGTCCAAGTACTGGCCTGAATCATCCCGGTTGCTTTACACTACCAAGAGTGTGATGATTATAAAGACGTCAAGCAAGCAATCGATTGAGATCATTGACACTTGTCACTCTGTAACAATCGATAAGGGAAAATGGTCAGTTGATGGACGTCGTTATTGACAATTTTCTCTCCTCTCCAGGCGCAAGAGTATCTGGGAAGCAAAATAGCAATGCTGAGAAGCTTCATACGGAGTACTTTTCACTGCAGTGAATATCAAGAGAGTAGTTATACCCATTTTTCCATTCTTTCTATTACATAGTTTATAGACTAAAATTGAAAACGTTGTTCTTAATAGTAAAACATTATTTCTGTGATTAACGCCACGTTTGAGATGGATATCATATTGTAGTAGTATCAATCTGTTGATTTACTCATGCCTTGTTTGATAAGGACAACAACAAGATCCACGAGAAAACGAAGATAACGGACAACAAGAAGGTAACACCATTTTACTGAGTTCTTTTTGTCACTGTATCCTCCTAAGGAATCGTTTTCATTTACATTTTTATTTTCTCGATGTTGTCCTCCAGTTCGTTTTTTATCTTTGTTTCCCCAGATCAACAAGTAGGAGAATCGATGGAAATGCAGATTCTTGGATTGCCACATCCAGATCAAGGTGTTTAAAATAGAATTTGCTCGTTCACTGTCCCAAACCAAATGATATCAATTGAAGTTCCCTTCGCTTAAGTCACCCAATTGTTTTTGGGCAAAAAACAGCGCAAAGAACTTTGATGGGGAAATGCACTAAAACATAGCTTCAGTCGCATTTTGAATTAGTTTTTTTTTTAAGAAACCGTTGGCTGAAATAGAATCACTCAGCGCTTGTAAGGCTAAGATTACTTTTATTTGTACTTAATTACCCTTGTGTCCAACACATGTCTCAAAAGTGCCTGTCTTCTAAGTTGAATGACTAACTATAGATCCGTGTTTTGGGGAAGATGAGTCTTACACTCTTGTTTTTATCCATTTATCAAGATGCACAAGAGCAGCATGGAGACAATCAAATTGGAATTGTCCAACAGCTTCACAAGGAGGGTATGTAATGACATCATTGTTGATTACAATGTTTTTATAATTATCCAGATCATTGATATCATATTGCAGTAATATTAATCTGTTGATTTACTCATGCCTTGTTTGATAAGAACAACAAGATCCACGAGAGATTGACGATAACGGGCAACAAGAAGGTATGAGCATTTTACTGAGTTCTTTGTGTCACTGTATTTTCCTCAGGAATCATTTTCATTTCCATTTTTATTTTCTTGATGTTGTCCTTCAATTCATTTTTTATCTTTTTTTCCCAGATCAACATGAAGGAGAAGCGATGGAAATGCAGATTCTTGGACTGCCACACCCAGATCAAGGTGTTTGAACAACAATTTGCTCGTTCATTGTACCAAACCAAGTAGATATCAATTAAAGTTCCCTTCGTTTAAGACACCCGACTGTTTTTGGGCATAAAAACAGCGCAAAGAACTTTGACGGGGAAATGCACTAAAACGTAGCTTCAGTAGCATTTTTAATTAGTTTTTTTAATTAACTGTTCGCTGAAATAGAATCACTCAGTGCTTGTATGGCTAAGATTACTTCTATTTTGTATTTAATTACCCTTGTGTCCAACACGTGTCTCGAAAGTGCCTGTCTTCTAAGTAGAGTGGCTAGCTGTAGATTCGTGTTTTGGGGAAAGATGAGTCTTACACTCTTGTATTTATCCATTTATCGAGATGCACAAGAGCAGCATGGAGACAATCAAATTGTAATTGACCAACAGCTTCACAAGGAGGGTATGTAATGACATCATTGTTGATTACAATGTTTTTATAATTATCGAGATCATTTAATTCATTCGAAAATGTATCTCATAAAAGTCGTTAAAACATCGTTTTGCTTTTTTTCTTGTGTTAGGAAGCTTATTTGCTCACTTATTTCTATGTGTATTTAGATCAGCAAGGAGCTGAAATGCTGGAAATGCAGCAAATACCTCCCCAAGAACAAGGTTATTCACAACTTTTTCAACCGACAAACAACAAAATAAATAATAACTATCCATTTTACTATTGGTTTTCCAGCTTATCCGATTAGCATTGTTGTGGTTTCTCTTAAACTTTGTTTTGCTTTTAACTTTAATTTAGAAGAAGGCCACGAAAGAGAAGAAGACGTTGTTGAAGAGGATGATCTGGAATATGATACAAAGTTGTAATCATTAATCGATGAAAGGATAATAAGTTAACACTAGTTTAACCCTAAACTTCTTAGTAATCTGTAATAAGTAATTAGTAATTAGTAATCCTTTTTAACTTATTTTATTGTTACAGATAACAATAATTTTATGTCATAAGGAGGATACGTCGAGCTTATAGGACTGTTTAATCTAGATACCTGCAAGCTGTACGGTAAGTTTAAATTGCAAGGGAGAGGTGCCCTGTTAATCGTAACTGATGGCTCAGGAATAAATTTACCACCTAAATGTAGTTATATTTCCCTTGCTGTAGTCCGTGAACACTCAACAAAAAGAGCAATATGAACAATTATTAACATAGGGTTAACTGTAAAATGAAAATTTCCACCAGTAGTCATAATAGTTTGGTTGAACGCAATAGGTTTATTTAAAGCAAGATTACCTTCCAACATTTTCCGATCAAATCAGACATGAGAAAATTTCTCGCAAAGTTGATAATTTCATTAACAAATGTGATCTTTTTTGATATCACTGGCTTTCTGTTTCAAAACGGTTGTTCTCCACATACCAGTCAAAAAAAATGTACTTTCTTGCAAGAAAATGATAATAGATGGCAAAGTTTTAAATAGGAAAGAACAGTCGATATGGTAACTACATTTGCTCACAAATCTTAGCAAACCTTTTATTGCTTTGCATCTCTTAGTGTCGAATATATATCGTGAACAGACCTTAGGGGAGAGCAGGACTACCTTGCAAGAAAAATATACCATCTTAATCAACAACATATGTAGCCTCTGTTTACATATTATCATTGATTTAATGCTACATGTATTCAATAACTGAAAATAAAGCATTCGATATTTCTAGTATAATTATTATTTTAATCGGAGAGAATGAAGAAAATCACGAGAAAAAAGTAAACATGTAGCTAATACAACGAAGTAGCTTGACAACTTTGCAATATCATTGTTTAGATTTTTCTTTGTCTTAATGTTTAGATAACGTTTCTGTCTCATTCACGAGTTACGATTAACTCCTTTAAGTTAGTTTGCATCTATCTGCAAATCAACGTTAGTAGCTAATGATAGAGATAATAATCTGCAAGTAGTAGTTAGTAGATAATGATATGAGGTTAGCATAACACTAAGTTTGACGTAATTGAAAATTTAAAAAAATTAACACTATCAAAAATCCGAATCCGGCGGTGATACATGAAGTGTTTTTGTGTGCTTCACCAAACGCAAATCACCAAAACTGGTGAGAAGTCTTGGGTAAGCCTATCAAACACGGATCCCTTTGTTTAAAAAAGAATTTACTTTTCCTATGTCGAAAAGTAACATCAAAACAAAGACAGTTTTAACAATGACCGATATGACAGAATCCACTGAGCTTCAAGCTTTTAAAAGACCAAAGGATGGTTATAAAGTTACTGTAAAAATTTCCTTGTGTATTTGTGTTGTTTTATCTTGAGACGAACTCAAAGTCCGGCAAAATTTACTTCATAGCGACTATGGAATATATATGGTGCGCCTACTTGTCGCCACCGTTAATTGGCATAAATCACTACAATTTGTAAAAAAGTCTAACACAACACTCTTACCTTGTTTATTTATGATTTCATTAGCTGTTTCGATGATCACGTTAATAATGCTCTACCACATTCTAGCCAGATTTGAGTTCCAGTTTATATATTATAGAGTTTTTTAAATTAAAAAATGAAGTTGGGTTTGAACTTGATAGTTCGGAGCTAAACAGATGGATATATCACCGCGTAACTTCTCAAACTTATTGTCTTATTGTAAATTAGCAGGTAAATTTTGTTCCTCTGCAATATAATTAGACATTAAAATTAAGCTATTAGAATATCTGGTAAAATTTAGGACCATGATTTGGCGATTAGAGATAATTTTTTTCCTTTTAAACAATTTGTGAATGTAACAGGATTGATAACTTTGGAAATGAGATTGAAACCAGGATTTTTTCAAGTGTGAGCTGGGATATTGGATTTGTATCCCACCAGTTTGTAATTCAATGTTTCATTTGCGTGATGGGATCTGTATTAATTGTTTAAAAAATGTGTCTTGGAACATGCATTAGGTGTTATTTACAACACTGCCCGTAAACACGTTTTTGCTGACGGTTACTGGTATGATAACAAATGTTTGAATGCCTACTTCAAGAGAGTCAGCTTTGCGTTTGAGTTTAACTACCATTTGGTTTACAACAATCACTGAACTTGAATAAATGTTTGCCCACATTTAGTAGATCAAGATATTCTCATTACATTTGCATAAATATAAGCAGAACCAAATGGATAAATCAAGGGTTCTGTATTAGACGCTTTAAAATGGGTGTCTTGGAGCATGTAATAGAGTTGATTAAAGCGGCCTGTGATAACGATTTTGCTGAGGTTAACTGGATCGGAAAAGGAGGACGAGGATCACCGCGTGAAAACAGGGATTTGGAGCTACAGAATGTACTTAATTAGAAATGACTGAACATACATGTAATTCAAGGGAGTGCGCTTCATGCCTGAGTTAGCGGGAAGTAGTGTTGTTGACTGAGTTTAAGAGCTAGTTACCAAGGCGCTTTCTGAACCACAAGTGTCTAAACATAAGACAGGTCAA